AGTTGATTTTTCAAATTGAGTCTTTGGATTCAAATTTAGGTCAGCCTAATTACAAAAGACCTACTGAGGTCTAAAAAAGGAAAATTTTCAAGGTCAAAGGTCAAGCTCATCAAATTAGGTCACAAACTGTGCTATCTAAGTTTCTCATAGTACAAGACTACAAATCAATATTTCTAATTGAAAGTCAAGATATACATTTCTCTAAGGGTTCTACACATATTAGCTATTGACTATTTATTAAAATTTTGTCCCAGTTTTGAGATATAAGAGCTCAAAAACTGAAAAAGGTCAATTTTTCAAAGTTTATAAGGTCAAATTTTAACTTGCTTCAAATTCACCCAACTTTTTTTTAAAAATCATCTACAACTTCTCAGGAGTTCATATCTAACCTCAGATTTGACATTTGACCTTTAGTTGACCTTCAGTGACCTTCAAAAGGTCAGAAAAGTTGATTATTCAAATTGAGTTTTTGGAATCAAATTTAGGGTTAGCCTAATCATAGAAGACCTACTGAGCTCTAAAGCAGTAAAATTTTCAAGGTCAATGGTCACGGTCATCAAATTAGGTCAAAGGTCAAAATCTAGGTCAAATCTAAAAAAATTTCAAGTTTCTCAAGTTTGTCCTTATACTTCATTATTTCTTGCGATGAATTAAACTGAAACTACATTTTAGTATTTTCTACAAATTGTTCACTAGATGTCAGCATTAAGTTTTTACCGTTTTTGAGATATTTGACATCGAAAAACGGTCGAAAAAGGTCATTTTTCAACTTGCTTCAATCTGACCAATTTTTTTTTTAAAAATCATCTACCAGTTCTCAGGAGTTCACATCTGACATCAGATTTGATATTTGTCCTTTAGTTGACCTTCAAATTGTCAAAAATGCCTAAGAGGGCCTCCGTGAGATTGCTTGCAATCTTAAAAAGTCTAGTTATTCTTATTCTATCAAAGCATTTTTCTCCTACTTCCAACTAGCTTTCAACTACTTACTATATGCTCCTACTAGGAACCTCGGCTGAAATTGGGGGGAAATAAATTTTTATCTAGGTCAAGGTCAAAGGTCAAAATCTAGGTCAAATCTAAGTTTTTTTCAAGTTTCTCAAATCCTGACACTACACTTCATTATTTTTGGCTGAATTTTTGCATACAGATAGATATTAGTATTCTATTAGTCTTAGCCTTTTGCCGTCTGGATAAATTTTGCCTAGATTTTGAGATATTGAAGGTCAAAAAAGGTCAAAAAAGTCTTTTTTCAACTTGCTTCAAATTGACCAATTTTTTTTTTAAAACTCATCTACAAATTCTCAGAATTCCAAATCTGACCTTACTTTTGACCTTTGACCTTTAGTTGACCTTCAGTGACCTCCGAAAGGTCAAAAAAGTTGATTTTTCAAATCGATTTTCTGGATTCAAATTTCGGTATATTTTTTCACAAAAGACCTTCTGAGGTCTAAAAAAGTAAAATTTGCAAGGTCAAAGGTCAAGGTCATCAAACGAAATCATAAACTGTGTTTTCTAAGTTTCTCAAAATTGGAGACTACAAATCAATTTTTTTTACTGAAAGTCAGAATATATATTCATCTAAAGGTTCTACACATATTAGCAATTGACTATTTATTAAAATTTTGCTCCAGTTTTGAGATATTAGAACTCAAAAACTGAAAAAAGGTCAAATTTCGAAATTTTTAAAGGTCAAATTTCAACTTGCTCTAAATTGAGCAAACTCTTTTTTAAAAAGCATCTACAAGATCTCAGGAACTCAAATATGACCTTAGTTTTGACCTATGACCTTTAGTTGACCTTCAGTGACCTTCGAAAGGTCAAAAAGTTGATTTTTCAAATTGATTTTTTGAATTCAAATTTAGGTTTTATTTTTTAAAAAGCATCTACAAGATCTCAGGAACTCAAATCTGACCTTAGTTTTGACCTATGACCTTTAGTTGACCTTCAGTGACCTTCGAAAGGTCAAAAAGTTGATTTTTCAAATTGATTTTTTGAATTCAAATTTAGGTTTATTCAATCAGAAAAGATATACTGAGGTCTAAAAAAGTAAAATTTTGTCCCAGTTTTGAGATATAAGAGCTCAAAAACTGAAAAAGGTCAATTTTTCAAAGTTTATAAGGTCAAATTTTAACTTTCTTCACATTCACCCAACTTTTTTTTTTAAATCATCTACAACTTCTCAGGAGTTCATATATAACCTCAGATTTGACATTTGACCTTTAGTTCACCTTCAGTGACCTTCGAAAGGTCAGAAAAGTTGATTTTTCAAATTGAGTTTTTGGATTCAAATTTAGGGTTAGCCTGATCATAAAATACCTACTGAGCTCTAAAGCAGTAAAATTTTCAAGGTCAAGGGTCACGGTTATCAAATTAGGTCAAAGGTCAAAATCTAGGTCAAATCTAAATTGTTTTCAAGTTTCTCAAGTTTGTCCTTATACTTCATTATTTCTTGCGATGAATTAAACAGAAACTACATTTCAGTATTCTCTACAAATTGTTCACAATATGTCAGCATTAAATTTTTACCATTTTTGAGATATTTTACGTCAAAAACGGTCAAAAAAGGTCATTTTTCAACTTGCTTCAATCTGACCAAATTTTTTTTTTAAAAATCATCTACAATTTTCTAGGAGTCCAAATCTGACCTCAGATTTAACCTTTGACCTTTAGTTGACCTTCAATGACCTTCGAAAGGTAAAAAAGTTGATTTCTCAAATTGAGTCTTCGGATTCAAATTTAGGTCAGCCTAATTACAAAAGACCTACTGAGGTCTAAAAAAGTAAAACTTTTCAGGGTCAACATCATGGAATTAGGTCACAAACTGTGCTATCTAAGTTTCGCAAAGATCGAGACTACAAACCAATATTTTTAATCCGAAGTCGAAATATACACATTCCTCTAAGGGTTCTACACATATTAGCAATTGACTATCTAATGGAATTTTGTCCCAGTTTGAGATATAAGAGTTCAAAAGCTGAAAAAAGGTCAATTTTGAAATTTTTCAAGGTCAAATTTAAACTCGCTTCAAATTGACAAATTTTTTTTTTGAAAATCATCTACAAGTTCTCAGGAGTTCACATCTGACCTCAGATTTGATATTTGTCCTTTAGTTGACCTTCAAATTGTCAAAAATGCCTAAGAGGGCCTCCGTGAGATTGCTTGCAATCTTCCAAAGTCTAGTTTTTGCTCATTACTTTCCAAAATTTAAGTGTAACATTTTCTGTGATTATTATCAAAATTGAAATCTACAACTACATACCTGTTTACTTTATTCCTTGGTGATTCATCTCTATTCACTCTTTTTCACATTTTAATCCATAAGCACTATAACATTTTTATGGAATGATATTCGAAGGTGTTGCTACACAAATAAAGGAGTTCTGATTACATGAGTCGATACTTTTGTAAAATACGATTTTTCACGCTTTCTTTATGTAAAACAGTATTAAAATTTAACTTTTGATCAATATTATGAACTGGTATGAACCTCATGACACTGACCTACCGATAAATATATGGTATATAGATAAATAAAAACCAATTCATGATCTGAAAGTATCCAAAACGTCATATGGATATTAATGACAGTGAAATAATTTGAGAGGGTTACTATGATGTGCATGTCAATAAGTTCTGATAAAAGCAATATGTAAACAAAATTGAAAACTGTTCTTTTAAAAAAACAGAAAATAAATATACTTATCAGAATCATAAATCTGACTTTATATCACCAAATGTAAAATGATGATGTTAATTGACAAATGATGATATGAGTAATGATTAATTGCATCATCTTTTACATAATTTAGCTGTCATCAATACTCACTTGTAAGATCTATATCAACGAGCATGTAAACAATAAATTATCAATTTAAATATATGGGACAATATAACACAATTTCAACTTTAACAATAAACAACCATCAAAATATCAACCAATTCATATTGCCCTTTCATTTACCATGCAACTACCTAGAATGCCTAGAGACAGTTTGTCAATATTTTGTTATTTTTTTGTACAGATACTCAAACACAAAAACATGACATAAAAGTTGTTCAAGTCTATAAATCAAAATAAACCTAGAATATCTATACATACCATCATTCTATGTGAATACTTGAATAAAACCAGCTATGCTGAAGGGTCATTTTGATTAAATTGCTATGGTTTCTTTGAAAAATGATCCAATATTTTCTTCAGTTTTCCTGGATAGGCAAACACATTCACTCCAAGTTTCCATCCTCAAGTTTGACTGAATAGATACAGTATAAAGATTTACTTATCCAAAAAATGACTCGATTGTGGTAGAAGTGAGTAAGTCAATGTAAAATTGAAATAATCTATGTTAAACATGATGTTTTTCATCACTGATTCATATGTTCTTATTCAGGATATCTCCTTCCATGTTGTTCGCATCTTTATCACCTGTACTGAATAACAGTCTCACCTGCTGTGATGTGAATTCTATCATTTCATATTTCCCAACTCAAATCAAGTCATTGCCCTATTCCATGTAATCCAAGTCTTTATACAAGACTCAGCATTGTTATTGAAGAATTCGGGCCTAAATTTCATCTACGAAGATCTTATTACGTATGTCATGTTGTGTCGCAGTGTTTACATTCAGGCCTGAGTCAGCTGATCAAAACAACTCATGGCAACGTTTAGTTGTAATTGCGTAGATTTTTTCCACCACTTTCAACGTGATTTACAGACGTTGTCAGCCAAATTGTAGCATATAATGAAGTTCAAAGTACCTTTGTTAATATTTTGAACCAGTTGTGAGATGAATTTTCTTCTGATATGAAGAATAAGTCGTCATTTTCGTTGGAAACTTTCCAAATTGCGCAACAGAATTTTCACGTGGAGACCCATGTTTGATTACCGGTTCCCATGCTCGGAGAGAAAAAATGCATTATCTTCATCAATAAGCTGAATTAAGACTCCAAACTTCGCCTAGTGATGCTCGAGTACTTCATACATACTGTGGACTTACCTCTGTCGAATTTCTGGCCTTCGGGGTTGATATCCTTTACGTCAAATATATCCTCAAACAAAACACCCGCCATTGTTGAAATTGATGACGTCACTAGGTTATTGAGAATGACCAACTTGATATTAGGGATTCCCCACAAATTGCTCTTGTTTAGAAGCTAACTTAGAGTTAACATTCACCTCATACTCATGAACAAATATTATGAGTACGTTACACCAATAGAATCACCATTTACTGATATGTTTATCCGTTAAATTGCTTTGAAATCTTTGTTTACAACCTAGGGTCAAGGTCACTAAAGTGAAACTTACCTCCATTTTAAAGAGCTCTAATAACACAAATGGTTGGCTCAATCAAGGATATGATAATCCATGCTCCTTCTTGTCTCTTTCGACTTACAAAGTTGAACTAAAACATAAACATAAATACAGCACCTTTTATCAAATGAATGTTAATTTTGTTATATAATATAAATACGTAAAATGTGAGAAATGCGTGTAAGTTTATTTGAGGCACCTCCTTCCTCAAAATGTTAATTGTCCGATCACTGAGTGTTTGAAATTCATAAGGAAAAGTAAAAGCAAAAATAAAGAATCACAATGGCATTATCATTTAATCACAATACTTTACGGAGATACCATCAAATCAGAAATTTCATGGAAAATAGAATGGAGTTAGCATGAAAAAAATGTCACTTTAGCAAGGGACAGGTCGTTACTCTGACAATATGTCACCAAGCACCTGTCCAAGCTGCCGATTGTCACAGATAATTTCACATGGATTATTTCAAAGATGTGCACCATCTTTAACCTATCATGAACTTGTCGAGAAAATATCATACCTGTACTCAATCTGTATTACATCAGTCAGGCTTTTGCGATTTTGGCCATGGGTTTCAGATTTTTCGTGTTATCATTGTTTGGAAAAACTCCCGAATAAAATCTTCTCCTAGTTTGATTTGCCGATACCAGTATTGTTAAAACTCCTGGCTCCTCAATGTCCATGCGTCCTGTTTTATAGGCAGCTAGTTGACGGTTGACAGGTATATATGAGTACGGAAAACCTGCTAGTAATTGTGCAAGACTGCAAAATAAAATAACATATTGGTCCTTATTGAATAATTGTCTCATTTTGATAACTACCTTCACCTTCGTATTAGTATTGAGCCGAATTCGACCAGACACCATAAAAGTATTGAAATAGAGACACAGTGTATACCATGTACTTCACAGGGACTGTACCAAATTCATGCAACACGAGGGTGACAAAATTTTAGCAAATTGATGTTTTCATCGTTTCAGAAAGATCTAGTTTAGTTTCTAGATATTTTTTATATGTATATAAATGTCTGTAACAATACCCTAGGCAGTGAACTTGACAGTGAATTTCATAGTTAAACTTACACAAACTCGTAGTCTAATACGGTGTAACGTGCATTAACGATAAGGTCCAACAATTTGAATTTGGGTTACCGTATCTCGGGTAAATGTACCTGCGCGTTATACCGTATACTTCATTTTAAAGAGTCACCATACACCTGGAAACATGGCGACTTGTCGGATTTGGTAGGTTTTAAAGATCGGGCATCCATAAAGAGAAAGAAAACCAAGATGACAACGTACACGGCAGCATTAAAACCCTATTTGTGCATATATGAGTGGTTGCTTTACTTACATTGAGGGGCAGTGGAAAGTGGCGAAGGCTTTTTGTTTTGTTTGTAATAAAACCTGCTGGAGACGGCACGGGGCGTCACACTATCTTTAAAAAAACTTTAAAGATATGAAAATATAATAAATGAGTAAGTTTCATGGCAAAATATACTTGAGATTTGTTGAGTGAACGTACCGTTGGATGGTCTTTCCAATGGTAAATCACACTAGGTACTTTGTATCAATAGACTAAATGCGAGTAGAAATAATCTTGATTTAGGTCATTAAATATTCAAAATTCAGTCAAAGTGATTTCATATTTGAAATCTGCATGTAAAAGTACATCTAGAAATATGGTTTCGAAAATTGTCTATCAACTTTGAAATTTTTTTTTTTTTTTGTAAATGTGACTTCTTGTTCGGGTTGATTCCCCATAGACCCCATGTTACAAAAAGTGAATTATCTTATTTTTGCATTGGACAGATAACATTTTCTTTTACTGGACATATTTTAATTTGCATACCTATTAGATACATAAGGGTTATATGAAAATTGAACCACACAAATAGATGTAATTTAAGTTAAAGGGAACTTTCTACCATACCCGCCATGCTATATGACCCGAACGAGTCATCTGGTGGTGAATCTGGTAACTACCTACTCGCACTGATCTGCGTTATTTACCCCGGCCAGTGCCTTATATTTTAGGCCGATGTAAAGATGGCAACAGAGGTGAATGTAGAACATAATGATTGTACTGCCATCTTTATTTTGAATAATTTCCATTGTCATGCATTGGATTATATTTTATTATTACCACCTTGCCGGGCCAGTTCTAGGGGTTTTAGTGCTAGTTTAGAAGGCATTCATTTTACTATATCGACCTGAGAAATGTGTGACGTCATAGTGGTGGTCCATATGGACCGGTCTAGAATATATTCAGTGGACCGGCAATTTTCCCCGGGAAACTAGATATCGTTCAATGCGTAAGATTTTCTTGCTGTTTCAGTCCTGGTCGTTAACGGTGGTAATAATACTAATAACGTCATTTCTGCGAGCAATATAGTGAAATATTGGACCGAGGGCCGAAGGCCCAAGGTCCAATATTTCACTATATTGCCCTTAGAAATGACGTTATTGTACTATTATGGCGTACGAGTTTCCATATTTCTGAGGGCGCACGCGTACTCATCCTTTCCAACCAACACATTCATCTTAAAAAGAGAACTCCATGCTACACTATAAAATATTCCTCCAATCCTCGGGGAATCTAATCGCACGAAATTAACGTACGAAACTCCCCCCCCCCCCTAAGATGGACAGAGAAAACCTTCACGGCCCAAAATATTTAGTAGGGCTTCAAGTAGTGGGGATTTTTGGCATTATTTGGCCTTTGTTTTATGATACAGGGTGACACAAAAAACACCACCCACTCATTTTGGAGTCTACGGGATTTTTAGTTGGTGTATATAGAGTGTTAAATGTTGTACTTGGATAGCATCAACAGATTTAGCGATATCACGCGCACGTTCTCTATCCATGGCATGCTCTCGATGAAATTATCCAAAAATGTTCAAAATACAATTTTCTGATGTCCGGATTTCTGTCTTTAGTCATTTTAGTCATTTCTGGATTGCTATCACTACTTTACACATATATTATCAAGAGTATGTTATCTACACATTTTTCTTCAATTTGTCTCTAATGAACTGATCTGATTCGCTTAATCATTCATTAAACATCCACGATGCTTTAATGAATGATTAAATTTTAAGAAAGGCAGATTTTCTAATTTACAGCTTTGAGCGATTTTGTGTCAGAGCATCGGAAAATGAGATAAATGAGACGCAAGCATACCAATCTTGTTTCCATTGAACATTCTATCTGTAAGCCTACACTGAAAAAATAAAGAGTACGTTTCCTTCATTATTGAGTTATTCCAAAATTTGTGGGTTGTGATTTTGTGTCACCTTGCATGAGGCCAAATTATATTTAGGCTTATATATTTCCAAAGTTTGGACTCAATTTTGGTTTTAAGGGCCCAACATTTTTTTCTGCGCACATAGGGAGAGGTCCACAGTCTTGAAGCTAGACTCGGTCACCTTCAACTCATATGTTAATCCAGTAACCCTCTCTATAGTTCATATCTGAACAAAAAAGCATCGAACTCAGTGTTTTATTATCAATTTTCGCCAGTATCAGGGGCGGATCTGGGAACCAACAAGGGGGGGGGGGCAATTTTAGGTCAGAGAAAAAATTTCTTGCGCGGAAAAAAGATTTTCGGCCCCTAATACCCAAAAGTGGGCCCAAATTTTGAAATTTTGAGGCCCACGAGTGGTATCGATGTGGAGAACTGAATTAATCAATGTTTTCTCTAAGTTAAACCAATCATCGAAAACATTCTGTAAAAAAACACGGTATATATTTTTCAAATTATATTGTATAAACCATTCAAAAGATGACTATTAAATTGACGATGTGTTAAATTTTTAGATTTTTTTAATGACTGGTTTAAGAGAAACTTGTGTTCAAAAAGTTCTCCATATCGATACCACTCTTTTGCCCTGAAATTAAAAAATAAGCCTTAAAAGGCCCAGTAATGACCAAAAAGGCCCACTTTTTGGGGCCTTCGGTCCTTTTTGGCCCACGATCTTTTCTGGGCCCAATTTTTTTCTGGGCCTACCCCAAGGGTTCCCCAGCCCCCCCCCCCCCCCGATCCGCCAGTGAGAATACACTTTTTAAATTACACAATTAATTTATTAGGGAGTTTAAAACATATACGTATGACCAATCCCCCAAACACATGCATTCTGATACTCATTGGACCCTATGTCATTCGGGCCATGGGTGATGGGACATTTATTTCTGTCCACGGGGACAGATACTTACTATCTTACCACTCTTCGAATAATTTGGGTAGGTATGTGCAGCACGGCCAATTTTGGCTTTTGGCATAAACCAATTAAGGAAACTGGCCAATCTGAGATGAAAGATGGAAAAGTCTAAGAAGGTAACTTTTTAGGTAAAAAAATCAGTTTTCTTCAAAGATGGTATTAAATTGGTTAAAATCAGATACCAATGCCTTGGAAAAACCACTGGTGAAGTGAATTTTTAGTCAATTTTAATGATATTTCGAGAAAGTCCCAGCAAACCGCGTCCAGCGAGGAATTATACATGGACACCTTCAATCTTGAGAGGAAATTGACATGAAAAAAATGCCAGGGTCCCTTTGATCCCTCATTGATCTACGGCAACCATACGGCGGTCGTAGCTTCCTATAATCACGAGAGAAATATGTAGCATAAAATAAATACAGGAAAAAGCAGTACGATGACGTAGATTTTCTATATCAGAATCTGTGATCATGACTACGCCAGCCGTGGAGCAAATTTGACCGAGCGCTATGCAGTATGGATTACTGGCCTAGTATATAGCCATTTCGATTCTGTCGATTGTTTCTTCCACTAATTACAACTTTTCTCAACTTTTCCCCTCACATACCTAAAACATGTACGATGTAATGTAATAATAGATGTCGCACGAGCATATGTCTGAATAAGCATTGTAAAACAGATCTACTGGCGGTCATTCACCTCTATCTAACTGTCTATACGAGAAGTCCGTAGCTGTAAGCTTACAGAGTTCAAAAGCACTGCATTGGCGGATTGGAGCAGCACCTCAGTGCGCTTATCCATTTAACCTAAAATGGTCATTTTACACTTGTTCTTGAAATTGGTCTGAACTTTTTGATAGGAAAGTGTCAAAACATATCCCATGGATAAGAAAGAAACCTTTGGGAAGTATTTCGACAGATATTATTTTCTTGATCCGACCTTGCTAAGTGTGATGGAATTTTGATAGACCAATTATATTATGGCCGAGGCGAATTCACCCGACTGGTTGTCCATCAGTAAGCTTACAGTGGGTCATGCCTCTATGCAAAACATTGCCATATTTACTGGACAAATCTTCTGGACATTGTCACATAATTATGATGATAGGACAAAACAATCCGGGTCATTTCGGTTAAATGTCTCGATTCTCGGAACATTCCAATTTGTTGAAAAGTTTTGAATCATCAACTTTTTCCCGCCCACGTTGATAGAATTAATCCGCAATTTGCAAAAAATAGTTCTACTTCATGCGGTATTTACTATCAATGTAAATTAATATTTTGTATGATAATATCTCATAATGGCTTCACATATTTATTTAATTCCGAAAATATCATAATTGGAGAGGCGATTATATAAAAATAAAATGCACTAACTTCTGCAGCGGAGTAATAAATTAGCGGAAGTGTAGTAGGTTAACTGCAAACAAAACAAAGTGCATGCGGAGAAGGGTGCAGAGGTTAAAATCTTTAATAACAGACAAACAACGTCAGATAAGCATTAGTAACTTTAACACAGAGCAGTAAACATGAAGGTCTACATGCTGGCCCTGGTATGGGCCGGTATTCTGCAAAACGTGCACGGGAAAAAGTAAGTCAGGCTAAATTTATTTTACTTCTCAAGTCATCTGTCATCACTTCTCAAAAAATGCCTAGAAGTTGCGGAATTGTGTCAATTCAACTGTGTTGCAGCACATAGGAGGCTTTCTTCAAGTTAAGACATATGTAGGAACTTGCTTTTTACAAGCTCATGTTTTCAATCTCAGTGCTAATAGCCAGGGCTGCAAATACAGAAGAAATGTAATCGGGGGGGGGGGGGGGGTTAGTGTCAACATTGGTTTCACAGCAGATTATCTTTGCATTTTGACAAAAAGGCTTGCCTGTAGCCAGCTTTTACCAAGGGTTTTTTGACAGTTTTGGCTAAAAATGCACGATAAGTGGCTCAGAATGTTCAAAAGCCCATGACAATTCTTAATCAAAAGGGGAGGTGTTACCAAGTTATATACTCCTTTATCTGACATTATGAATTAATATGATCGACAGACAGATAGATAATATAATTTGTCTATTTGTTGTAAATCATGCTTGCGCACAAGGTATGGGTCATCTAGGTCCCAAAACACAAATTAAAAATTTCTAAAATTAAACATTTATCTATTCGAAGTCAAGTACACAGTTTTTAACAAGTGTCACATTTCAAAAGTTTGTCAGACTCATGTGCTGAAAATTGAAATAATATAGGATAACCTTACAGTTAATGGGTAAGGTAACCTATGTACCCTTTTCAAGAAGATCTATCCATTCTGCCTCAAACTCTTAAGTTATGGGAAAGCATCTGAGGTCAACCAATCTATGGTCAGAAGGCCCGTGATCCATTTTGTCAAGGGGTGGTTAAATTTTTTTAAATTCCAGCTAGGTGTTCAATTTTGGCCCAAAATAAATTGAGAAGTGTTCAAACTGGTACTAAAAACTGCATGATTTTGAAATATTTTTTTACCAGCCCGAACTCCTCCCAGTGGCTACGGGTAGGGTCAGTCAGCTGGTCAATTGCTTTGCAATCATTTTGTGTATCTGTATGTATGATTTGTAGTCAGTAATTTGCCTGTGGGTATTTTGAATGGTTGAACTCTAAAATCATGGTCTTTGTGGTCAGAGGGTGGGTAGTGTGTAAATTGGTAAGACCAGGGTAATAGAAACCATATTTCATTAACAGTTTCCTATTTCCTAATCCTTAATGATTCAGGTTAAAGCAATTAGGGTTTCTAATAAAATTGTAATTTTCCCATCATAATGGGTTTCAATTTTGTTATTCATTTAAAAAAATCATTATTCTTTGATCATTATCAGAATTCCTCAAAATTGAATTATCAAAAATTAAAGTATACAGTAACCCAGAGGTATCTATTCACTATTTATTTTTTCTAGATACACTGTATATGTCAACATAATTTTTTGATTCATTAATCAACATTTAAAGGATGATTGGATCTGATTCTAATTGAAATTTTCTACCTATCATATACATTTGTATGGTTTGCCAGTCCAGCTATATATTATTATATACCCCATATTTTCTTGATAACAGTAAGTTATGTCATTTTGTTAAGTAAATGTTGTCTTCATGAAATTTCGCAAACATCATTTGATTTATTTGAAGTTTATATTTATGTTAATTGTGTGATTCAAATAAACACATTTTATGGCTTTATTCTCACAGTTTCAACTAGCCTGGAGTCATTATAACAACTAGTACATTGACTTCATATATTTACATGTATGTGTAACAGAACTTTCTAGCAGTGAATAATTGTTTTTGCCAAAAAACTGACCCGTTTGTAAAGTTGTAAAGCTACCCCGTTAAGATATTTTACGAAATCTGTTTCAAGTTAGTTTCATCCAAGGTTTCGATTATGAAAATATTCTCTATTCTATTTTTAGATTCAGGATAATATAGAGATGTTGGGGAGTTTTTTCTGGGGGAGGGGGAGAGGGTGGGGGAGTGGGGTAATATCATTTTCAGGGTGTTTTGGCTGTTTTCCCACTTCATATTAAGGATTGCATATCTGACTTTTCCAACATTGGAATAAAAAGTTTTTTTCGTCAGTTCAACTGAAAATTAAGGTCTGTTTTTGCCAATATTGCAAAATGCCAAACTCTTTTCTAGAATGTTGACTGAATTCTCCTTAGGGTAGTACAAATCTTTGCTCTTTGCAATGTATGAACTATTTTGAGGAAATTTAGTAGTGGGATGTAGGCAAATAGCCAAAAATCAACAGAAAACCTCTGTAAATATGTTGTAAGAGTCATGGTATGACAACATTGAGAAGTGTGAGGAAATTGTTTTTTAATCAAATCATAAATTCTAATTAAACAAATAATATTCATGATATAGTACTCTATTAATAAATGTTTTCATAGTTTGGCTATTTCTTGTTTAATTAGTGATATTGATAAAAACAAACAGATTAAACTCATAGTGCTATTCATAATAATTTTTTCAGTCTTGAAAATGAAGAGCCATCTATGTTTTAAATAAAGTTATTCCATTCAATATGCTAGATGGAGCAAGCCACACATGCTCAAGTATTAAAATGAAATGAAAGTTCAGATTTCTGCAGATGCAAAAATCGGGATTCAGGATTTGAAAAAAATTGTTTTATCAATGGTATCACAAGTATATTCAGCAATTATAGTGATGACAAACCTCAGGCATTTATTCAATGCCAGGGACGTAACTGCTAAATATACATGTACTTATGATAACATTGATGAAACTATTTTTTGCAAATCCTGCATCCCGACGATTTTTGCGTCTGTGTGCGAGTGAAATTTGGAAGAAATGAAATATGATGTCATAAGATTGTCATAGTAAAAAGTTTAGTGGCAGGAATATATAGCCGACCTTCAGCTCCATTGACTTCAATACAAATGCTTTTAGGTGTGTTATACTAAAAATACATTTCTTGTCTATCTCGGTTTGTCCTTACATTCTAATAAATTCTAATAATAAAAAAAATCAAATAAAAAAAAACTGGGGTCAGAGGTTTTGGAAAAATTTATTGGTGTTAAAACTATGATTTGGTTTTGGTGTCATCATTACATTTGTTTACCCTAGTTTACCCCCCCCCCCCTTTTTATCACCATAGTAACAGTTTTGTTTGATGTGTAGGGAAGGACCAGATGATAAAAGTCAAAATAAAATTAATTGCGTTCATTGGCAGATTTAGTGTCTGGACACCTCAGGGTGACACAGACTTTTCCTGAAAATAAAAGTGTCCACTCATTGACCGCTCCTCGTTTGTAATTAACATTCCGTTGAATTTTTTTTTTGGCACAAATTTCAAGTTTTGTAATAATTTGTTAACGATACTCCCACATGGAATTATTATAAACATCTGCCAATTAACAGATTGGTTGTTCTAAAATGAATCACAATAATATGTTGTTTTCTCTTTTCAGAGGGTGGTTTATTTTATTTACCACAATAAGAGACACTCGTATATGACAGAACACCACGATAACTCCAAACATCAACTTTTTAGCATGTCAGCAAATATGGAGCATAGATTTTACAAATAATGATTGGTAATATGATGGCAATACTTTGATTTGTCAAATGTAGTAAATGAGTAATGCGTCAGCTTTATGTGAAAGTCAGATTAAAGCCACACATGAGGCAACTGAGGCATTGGCCTCATCAACATTTTAAGAAATATTCATTCAGACAATTTTTAACTAAATCTCTGAAAATGGAGATCAAAAGTAGAAATATACCTCATTAGCTTTAATTTGTCTCCAAAGTCAAATCACAAACTGCACCCAAAAAGGAAAACTAAGGACATTCATTGGGAGGAGTGCATATTGATAATATAAAATATAATATTCCAAGAAACAAAGAAGTCTAAAGAACAATAGTTGATTGTTTCTTTGTTATCAAATCCCGCAGCTGAAAGAGGATTGGCAAAAATGAAACTATGACATCAAGAGTTTCTTTTCACCAAAAAATCATATTGTAGTGCATATATATGTTTTCACATAGGCACTGAACATATGAAAATTTACTTCCTGGTACAAGGAAAAATATTACATAATATATCAATCTTCTGAATCCAGTTTGTTGTTATTTATCATGAAGAAAAATTAAATAGCCTAAATCTGAAAAAACAATTGTATTTTAGTACTTTTGGTATGAGAATTCCTCTATATTTCCTGTTAATTTTAGGAATTTGGGTATTTTTAAAAACTCAATGTTGATGTTTTATAGGGGTTATTTTGATGAAGACTTATCATCAGCTGATTTCTCTGATTGGCCACCTGACAAGGTTGCTGTATAAATAGTTCAGATTGGGAGGAAATATTTATTCCTCTGAATATTTTCCAGATTATTTGATATAAAATCTCAATTCAGTTTATTTAAATGTCACAATTTATGCATTTCTATATAATTTAAAACATTAACTATATGCCTATTTGCTTTATTTGTTGCTTTTTCCACTATTTTATACTGGATTTTAGCTTTTAAAAATGAAACCATGATGAATTTTTTGGAGGGGATTTTCCTGCCAACTTCCCTGCAGAGATAACAAGAGATAACTCAACCTGTACAAAAAATGTCATCTGTGGTCACATACTAAAATTCAAAATAAAACATATTCTGAAAATTAGCGAGGGATTTTATGAACAGGCATGTTGTCAATATCGCACATGATAATTAAAAAAACAAAATCAGTTGATTCATGTAAATATAGAGAGAAATAGAGTGGAATAAGCATGGTTTGATTGCAATTTTATGCGTGGGTCTAGCTCATCTTTATATCCATCATCTGTTATTGTATCTGGTGCATGATTGTTTGTTTCTTCCTGGATGCATTTGATTGGTCGAAAGGCAAGGTCATTACCTGGAAGAAAAATTCCCCGGTTGCCATGTTTTAAATTGGAAATAGAGGGAAAAAGAATGGAATTGTAAAAATAACAAACTTGTAGGGTAGGGAACTCCCTAAATTGTATAGAAATGCAAGAAAATCTGGTTGTTTGATTCAGGTTTATTGGGAAACATGTGAAAAATAGGTATAATAATGAGGAGGAGTTTTAGTGGACAGGTAGTAAACAGTAAACACAGATTGGATAACTATTCTTATGTATTTATCCAGGAATTTTCCTGGTCTGGAAAGATAGAAAGAATCTCTGACATTTGTTAATGAAGCTAATCACCATAGTTACCAATTTGATTAGGCAATTTTAACAGTGATACTGTGATACATAATTGTTACATGATGCTTCACTTATGCCTCAAGAGTCACATTTGCTCTCTGGCGACCATATGCGACCATAGCTCCCCAAAATCAAGAAATACCTAAGCTAACAGCCTTCATGAGACCTTTTTGGGAATGTTAAAAATTCAAATAATTTTACCTGTTGTTTTTATGTCATTACCAAAAGTGGCGACATATTGTTATCTCTAACTTTTTGTTCATGGTATTTGGTGGTTGGTGTTTGGCATCTGGTGTTCAGCATCTGTATCAAATGGCAGGTGGATGACATTTTGCATATGAATGCCTTGTTTTGCCTGTTTTCAAACTCTACTGTAACTCCTGTATTATAACTACATATAGGGTGACCAAAATATGATTTACTTTCTCAGTCCATGATTGAATTTAATTGACTTTAATTTAATAGACTAGATGCGAGTAGAAATAATCTTGATTTACATCATCAAATATTCAAAATTCAGTCAAAGTGATGTCATACTTGAAATCTACATGTAAAAGTACATCTAAAAATATGGTTTCGAAAATTGTTTTCCAACTTTGAAAATTCAATTTTTTTTGAAAATGTGACTTCTAGTTCGGGTTGAATCCCCATAGACCCCATTTTACAAAATCACAAAAAGTGAAATATCTTTTCTTGTAATGGACAGATGATATTTTTTTTTACTGGACATATTTTGATTTGCATAACTGTTAGATACATAACGGTTATATACAAATTGAACCACTAAAACAGATGTAATTTAAGTAAAAGAGAATTCTTTCTACTATACCCGCCATGCTATCTGACCCAAACAATTTAAGTAAAAGAGAATTCTTTCTACTATACCCGCCATGCTATCTGACCCGAATGAGCCACCTGGTGGTAAAACTGATAACTACCTACTCGCATCTGAGTTATTGACTTTACACCATGAAGCTATATATTGGAAATAAAGTATCATAGAATCAATAAAATACATTAAGTAGAATCTGCGTACAGTGAACACCTATCAAGCCACAAAAATGTGTTCACTATAGGTAGGTGTTCACTACAGAGGGGCAATTTTATACAGAACTCAGTGGAGTATGTGCTGAGAAGAAGTTTTACTCTTTGTTTATATTTATCTCACATTTTTTGGAAATAACATCAAGATTTTATAACAATTTCAGGGGACATATTATAACTGCACCTAGACAATTACATACAGGGCGACCAACAAAGGTTTGCGCTCAGTTTTATGAGCTTGAGGATAGTGATGTCTCTGTAAATATCCAGTTGATCGAACAAAGATGGGGAGAAGATGACAAGTTAACTACATCTGCCACACAGATTTTTGAAAAAGGTAAGGTTATCAGGATATATACAAGGTGTCCTTAAAGTAAAAAAGGTAAGGTTATCAGGATATATACAGGGTGGCCATGAAGTCTTTAATAATAGTGAAATTTGTAGCAGTTGATTGTTATATATGAGTAATATATCCTGTGTTTTTCAGAGCGAACCGGTTCACACTCTGCTGTCACTGTTACACAAACTTTGATGTCTAAAACATAATTTTCTGTTGAAAAAAATTAAAAACACCAAATATCATTGAATAAAAATTGTACTCAATAACTTCTTATATAATATAGAAAAATGTGACTTGCAAGATATTCTCATTTTCCTAGGGCCAATATTTTCTGTTTAATGAATCATTTAGATTATATGAATTATAAGCACCCAGATTTGATTATTTCTTATCTTATAGTAATAAGTTATACACCAGTCATAACAATTGCAGGGGAAATCAGTAATCATTGGACTTTATGATTAAATACTTCAAATGATATAAGTCCCAAATAACACAGAGGTGTTCACACATAATGCAATCTAAAGTAGAGTCCGTCAAAGTAAACACCTCTTTAGTCAAAACACCTCTCAATGTGAACACTTTTACTGGTCCCAATTTTGTTACCTCCCATTGACTCCCATGTTAAGAAATCTTAATGTGAACACCTGTTTATCCGAACACTTTTGGCTGGTCCCATTGGCGTTAGGATTAGACAGGTTTTACTATTGTATAAATCCTCCATGAATTCACCATATCAAATTATTTGATAACATGTATGTGTGAAATCAAGCCTAGTTAAGCCCCCCACCTCCTTTAGTCTTGGACACTGTAATGTAATGTAATGCGATGTATTTACTCAAACGGGCAAAATGTCAGGCCTGATGTTGAAAAAGCCAATTTGACGAATTCCTTTTGATGTCACCTGTAACTGACATAACTGACATTTGGCATTGACTTTTGGTGTCAGGAGTCTGTAACAATCGTTACACTCTTCCAGGTGGTTACATTTTGTCAAGTATAATCTTTATCCACCATTGTTACAGGTACTGCGGGCTGTCTCCAACTTGAGATTCCCTCTAAAAAGCCTGATGGTTGGCCAAGCTTCTACCTCAACGCAAGTGTTACCACGGTAAATGACGAAGACACAAATGCTGCCATCTACAGAAGTAAATCATCGAGAAAGGTCCAGTTGCGAGAAATCACTCCATTGGTTAGGTTTATAGAGACTGATAAACCAATCTATAAACCCGGCCAAAGATGTAAGCTATTTACTATTAAGATATTAATTGTTTTGATTGTTATATAATAGCAGAATATAATTCCATTATGATTATACATGTACATCTAAGGGTTTTAAGAAGGTATATGGGAAGATCGAGTGTAAATTTTAATATATTTGGACCTACAATAATTTTCTATGTCTCTCTAAGATTTATGGTGAAATGATATTTTATGGCGAAATGTAATGTTTTTCGAGAAGTATGATTTTGGTTAAATCATATTTTATTGTGAAATGTAATGTTTTTAGAGAAGTGTGATTTTGGTTAAATCATATTTTACTGTGAAATGTAGTGTTTTTGGAGAAGTGTGATTTTGGTTAAATCATATTTTATGGCGAAATGTAATGTTTTTGGAGAAGTATGATTTTGGTTAAATCATATTTTATTGTGAAATGTTGTTCTTTCAGTAATGTTCAGAGTGCTGACTCTTACCAGAGAAGATCTGAAACCTCAAACAGATGATGTAAGTACAAAATGTAAATGTTGTGTAATCAATGCAGAAATGTAGTTTTGAGTTCTGCCGATAGGTGGAATATATTTCTCTACAAGATGTAAGATCATTTGTATGTAATTCACCTTTGTTTCTGGTAGTTACACAAGAACTAAATAAAGGCCAATAAAGCGTCATATTCAAAACTATTTCTGCTAGTGATGTAATTTTGTAAAAAATTTGTTTAATTGCCATATATGTAATTTATGTTGCGATATCCAATCAATCTATATATTCATTTCACCCTGCATTGATTAAGGATTTAAGTCTTGGACTCAGTGCATTGTGTGCTGAACCATTCCATGAAGATGTTGTTTTCAAACCTTTGCATGACCACACAGCTGGAATGCAAAGTTTAGGAAATAACAACTGAGTGGAATGAATCGGCCACAATGCATCAAATCTTGGGCTTCAATCCAAAATATTATCTACTAAATATATAAAATAAAAAATAGATATAAAATCACCTTGCTGATCTATGTGTGAATTGATTATCAAGTATTGTTAATTTAATTTTCAGCTTGATGAAGTTACAGTGATGGATCCAACTGGGTCAAGACTCAGACAATGGAAAAATACAAAAACTGAAAAAGGTAAACAATTTTTTGTTATTACAGTATATTCAGTGTCCTCACACAAAGTGTGAACTTTTAGAGGTTTGAAAATAAAAACGTGACACACTGTTGCATGAGACAATGATAGTAATGGAGTTTTAAAATTGTATCATAGTTTATTCTGGTTCTTAAATTTTTCCGTATTTTAAATTTTAGTGTATCAGGGGGCCATAAACAGAAAATTTATAAAGTTAAGAATTCGTAAAGTCCATTGTTCTCTAACTGTGACGTCATTATATCCATGGTTACAACAATTGATGTTACGAAGTTACTGTTAATGACCCCCTGAATAGTAGTTTGAGATCTAAGAAAGAGACTGAGTCCCTTTAATTTTTTAATTTTAAGGTTTGGCCAGTTTTGAGATGCCCCTATCTGAAGAACCAGTGCTTGGTACTTGGACTATTAAAACAGAAAGTGGTGGATACTCTGATACACGAAAGTTTGATGTGAAGGAATATGGTACGTACTGTTCCCTTTTCAATGAAGTATTCCACACCATTAATGTTCAATGGTTAATTTAAAACATATGATCAAATCATATGCTTGGGACTGATTTGAAAAAATCTATCGACCTTGGTGGGAATTGAACCCACAACTTCACGATTACATGTAGAGTGCTCTACAACTTGAGCTTCAGAGTATGTAACGCAATACAATATAAATGATCAAATTTATTTTTCAGTTCTCCCAAAGTTTGAAGCTCTCAATAACCCTCCCGCTGCTGTCCTTATCAATGCAATATAATACAATGCAATGCAATTGCAATATAATTGATCAATTTTATTTTCAATTTTCAGTTCTCCCAAAGTTTGAAGTTCTCATCAACCCTCCCGCTGCTGTCCTTATAAATGCAACCAGCTTTGACCTTGAAATCTGTGCCAAGTAAGTGACCCTTAAAGGTTTGAGTGGCCATTTTAAAAGTGGATCAAAATATTCATGAGGCAGGCATTAGGTAACTGCCTCACGGAAATTTTACTAAAAGTGATATTCAGATATTCAGACAAATTTCTGAGTGAAACTGTGAAATAATGTCCAATAGCAACATTTTGTATTCTTTCATTCTACATTAGGCTCACCGATTTTTGACCCTGACTACTCCTTGTTATCTTTTGATGAATATTATCTTTTTTTAGATACACTTATGGTAAACCAGTGAAAGGGAAAATGTTCATAGATGTTGATGTCCTGCAACAGTCTTACTATGGCAGAATAGAAAAACTGACTCTTCCTCCACCAGTTGAAGAATGGGAAGAGGTGTGTACCGTTATGTTCTACAAATAAAATAATGTGTGTCCCTTCGATGATTTAACTTGACGTATGGTCAAAATTTGATAATGAACCACTTGGCATGTTGTTTTAGCGCATGAGAGAAAAATTTGACACAGAAATATAATCATTTCACTGTAAAAAGTACCCTACTCTTTATTAAGTATATGTAAAGAACTATTCTGTATGAATGTACAACATTATAGCACTGTATTATTAATAGCATTATAAAAAATTTGGAACCTGAATTTATTTTCTGCTTAAATCTATAAGAAGCTTAGTTAAAATCATTTTAATTTTCTTTATCTTTATTTAAAATAGGAAATAGATGGTTGTGTCACTAAGACGATTCAAGTGGGACAATTCAACGATACACTCAATTTCTGGGGAACCTGTAACCTCAATGTTTTGGTGATGGTAAAAGAGGACGCCACTGGTGTTGTGCTTAATGCCACACACAAGACAATGGAGTTCATTAAAGAGCCGTTCAAAATTGATTTGGAAGGTCTACCTAAACACTTTAAACCTGGAATGCCCTTCACAGGAAATGTAAGTTTTGAAATAAAATATGAAGGTAATTCAATAAATATTAGAGACCCTTGTACATATTGGGTGTAAAATTTTCACTCTTCAATTCTGGTTGAATTGATTTATGTTAGATTGAAATATTTTACTTGTTCATCTTAAAATCCATATGTTTACTTTTTATATATAAATGTATATTGATAGTAATGGTGACACTTGCATTAATTATGGTGACACTTACATTAATAATGATGACACATAATGGTGATACTAACATTAATAATGTGAAACTTGCATTAATTATAATGACACTTGTTTAATAATGATGACACTTGCATTAATTATAATGACACTTGTGTAATAATGAGATACTTGAAACATGACACTTGCATTAACAAGGATGACACTTGCATTAATAAAGATGACACTTGCATTAATGAATTTGACACATGCATTTATAAAGATGACACATGCATTAATAAGGATGACACTTGCATTAATAAAGATGACACTTGCATTAATGAATATGACTCTCGCATTAATTACAATGACACTTGCATTAATAATGATGACACTTACATTAATAAAGATGACACTTGCATTAATGAATATGACTCTCGCATTAATTATAATGACACTTGTTTAATAAAGATGACACTTGCATTAATAAGGATGACACTTGCATTAATAAATATGACACTTGCATTAATGAATTTGACACTTGCATTTATAAATATGACACTTGCATTAATAATGATGACACTTACATTAATAAGAATGACACTTGCATTACAGGTCCATGTGAACAAGCCAGATGGTTCACCTGTGATTGGTGAACAAATAGAACTGGAAATTAGACCATACGCTTATGCTAAGTTTGCCAAGAATTTCACAACAGACTCTAATGGAGGTTTTCACATTAATGTCCTACTTGAGGGGAATGAAACCACTCTCAATATTAAGGTTTGAAACTACATTCAATATAAAGGTTTGAAATTCGTTCAGTATAATGGTTTGACACCAAAAAACTCATATAAAAAGGTTTTAAACTACAATCAATATTAGGTTTAAAACTTCATTTGACCATTATGATTAAATAGGTTTGAATGAAACTACACTCAATATAAAGGTTTGAAACTACACTCAATATAAATGTTTGAAACTACACTCAAAATGTATACATACTCGTTTCTCCAATAGGCACGGGCACCCAGATATGACCAACTAGGCAAGCCATATGATGACATAAATTACAATCTCCAAGTGAGGATGCCGATTGCTAACTCCATGACAAAGCGTTGGTACTCTCCTTCACAGAGCTTTATTCAGGTAGAACCAATTCAGAATGCTGTTGCCTGTGATGAGAGTTTGAGGCTCAAAATTGATCATTCATACGTACCTGAAAATTCAGATGATGAGATCAAGTTGCAGTACCAGGTGAGACATCTATAATACTTTAACAAGAGAAATATACAGAAGTACATATATTAGTATATTAATTCCATGAACAAACTATTTCCCTGTTTTGCACTATTGATCTCATATATATTGAGTACATGTAATATAATATGTTTTCTAATGGCTAGCTTATTTAACTTCAGTGTAAATGTGATTTTACAATTTGTTCTCAAGTGTGATATATCCAGTATCTATGACAACTCACTGCTGCCGCATTGCTAAATTTTGTAATATCTCAGTCATTGTTTAAGTTATGGATTGGAAATCTGGAAAAATGAAAGTTTCAGAGTAAAACAACTTTACTTCTTGATTAACTTTGCATCATCCAAATGCGGATGAAGAGACACTGTAACTCTCTGACTATTGCCTCTGTTTTTAAACTGTTGAGCTAGCTCAATAAAATCAAAGATGAAGACATTCATTCTCTCTTAAGAGGAATGATCCTTAGTTATTGAGATACAGTTTCTAATGACCTCTTTGGTAATTTGTTATATTTGATGTGCATTAATGTTGCCATGGTGTTATTAAAATAAATGTCATTGTTGCTAGGTGATGTCACGTGGCAATATACTCAAGGTGGGAACTCACAGTCATAAAGTTCAAGGACATTTGGCTGAAGATTCTTCACATAAAGGTAACAAGTTCACAACATCTGTTCAACAACATTTTCTGCATCTCCATAGTGATGGAGGTGAAAACAGTTCCCATTTTCTCTCCATGCCTACCACTCGTGTCTTCTCTAAGAAAAACAATCAAGACAATTTAGAGTGTCGCCAAGAATTGTAGTTTTCTTTTTTCAATTATTCTGTATTTCTGGTTCTCAATATTTCTGAATATAACATTGTCTGTTCATTTGATGATTTCAGTCGAGCGCTTCCACCTCACCATCCCAGTTACAAGTGAAATGTCACCGAAGTTCCGCGTCCTCGTCTATTACGTAAGAGCGGATGGGGAGACAGTTGCTGACTCAGCAACATTTACTACTGAGAAATGCCTACCAAATATGGTAAGTGGGTACAGCTGAAAAATTGTGTTCTTTACCCAAGGAGTCTTAAAAAGTAAATTTCCCCAAATCTTTTGGTCTTTTCCTATGACATCATTGTCTCTTAATATGACATCGTTGTCTTCTTAAGCTGACATGCCCAAAATGTTAAAATGGTGTGTCATATTAAGTTTAAAGCTTGGCCTATAATGCTGAAAAGGTATTAGTTAGCTTTAACATGTATGATGTATAGTTGATTAAATAGATAGATTATCCATAGTTATAACAAAGAAATGTGTAATGATTCTTAAATTTACGAGGTTTCTGACCTTTAAATTATTATATCTTGATAACAGCTCATCCGAGACATTTTATCATTTACACATTTCATTCTTGACAATTTCTATTCCCAAATGCAAATATGTGGGATCATTTCCATACCAATTGTGAAAAAGAGTACCACATGTGAGCTGAGAATACTCATTTGACTTTATATACAATAAACCTATGGCTTATAGAATAAACACTTGACTTTATATACAATAAGCCCATGGCTTTATATACAATACTCATTTGCCTTTATATACAATAAACCTATGGCTTTATAGAATAAACACATGACTTTATATACAATAAGCCCATGGCTTTATATACAATAAACATTTGACTTTATATACAATAAACCTATGGCTTATAGAATAAACTCTTTACTTTATATACAATAAGCCCATGGCTTTATATACAATAAACATTTGACTTTATATACAATAAATCTATGGCTTTATAGAATAAACTCTTGACTTTATATACAATAAGCCTATGGTTTTATATACAATAAACATTTGACTTTATGTACAATAAACCAATACCATTATTGTATCTTTCAGGTCTCTGCGAGATTTGCTGATGCTGAAAAACGACCTGGTGATGATGTCACTATGAACATTGTTGCATCACCGGATTCTCTTTGTTCAGTCGGAGTTGTTGATAAAAGTTTAACAATTCTTAAAGCCTCAGAAAATATGGACTTTAGTAAGGTGGGTGAAGTTTGAAAATTTGATCTGTTTTGTATCAATCTAGACCCTTTAACTTTGACGATATAACATATCAACTCAGTTTTGGTATTAAACATAGAGTACATAATTTGATTTTATTCAGTTTTGATTTTTAAAAATAGTTGAACTTTATCTTGTCTTTGTCTTCAATATATTATATCCCTTGAAGCCCACATTGGCCATCATTCTTGCTCAGGTAACTTTTTCAAGCTTTCAAATTTATTAAAAGTTATATTTGGATAATAAAAACTTGTCAAACTTTGGCTATTTGGCAGTTCCTGATTTAACCAACAAGCTATTGTTATGTCACTAATAGTACAACTACAACATTAAAAACTGAAATTTGGGTATTCAAGAAGTGGAAAAACTTTGTAAGTTGAATACCCTAGTCTACAGGTCTATAAGTGGAGCACCTTCGAAGTGGAATGTTTTTGCTGAATAAGTGTGTTCCACTTGCACAGGTGTTGTTGTATTTGTATCATTACTGTACTACTGATCAGGTGTTTGGAATTCTGGAAGAATCAGATAGCGATACATACTACGAGGACAGTGATTATGAATATTGTGAGAAGAAACTTGCAGAAGAAGATGACGATGACGAAGATGAAGATGATAACATCGCCATTGATGAAGAATTTCCACCACTACCTGATATAGGTATTTTTATTGTTAGCTTCACCCTGTCAACATTTTGGGTATACATTTTACATTTTCTCGATCATTGAAATGGGCCGTGGGTTCGATCCCAACTGGGGTAGACTGACTTTTTTTGAGTCAGCCCTTATAATGAATGATCAATCTTTAATTTCTTTAAATGGTCATTTCTTTCAATCATCTGAATGTAAGGTTCCATACATCATCCTTTCTGGTCCTTAATATCTGGAGCTCTGCATTTAGTGGATTTACTTTACTCAATCTATTTTAGACTGCTCAATAACCTCTCACCTTTCTGCAGAATGTTTTGACAACTATATCCCTGGTCAATTTTTCTTTTTTTCGCTATTTTCTAATTCTTATTCCTGCTGCCAATTATACATAAAAATGATTCTTCACTCAGGTATTCCTTTGGCGGATGATGGGCCTGCTCCTCCTGGTGCCCCAGTGCAATCTGAACGTGGTGCCCCAAGGAAAAAGAGATCATATTGGAGGCCAAACTATTCTGATCAGTATGACGCCATAAGGGCTTTCCAGGTAATGCCTTGGTCACATTTGCTCCGATTCATCGGCCAACACCTGGCCGCTTGAGTATTCTGTTCAAAACTGAATACAATTGTGAACAGGATACTCAATCGGCTGGGCGCCGGCCGATGAATCGGAGAAAATGTGACACAGGCATTAGGTAAAACCAAATTTTCACTTTTTCACATTTTCACATTTTTATTTTGGGAAATGCAATTCTTATGTCACCACCAGAAGTGCTGACATATTGTTATTATATAGCCTCCAACCTTTTGTGGTTGACGGTTGGTGATCAATGTTAAGCATCTGTAACAAATGGCAGGTGGTGACATATTCAATGTTAATGCCTTGTTATGAGATTACAAAGACTAACTAATAGGAATATCTATCTACTTTTTTTAGAATGCCCATCTATATTGTACCTGGTACCATGTTTCTTAAATTACTCTGTCAAATTAGATTTACTCTAGTATTGGCACCGTAAGAATAATCCAAAATCATGATTGTGCTGGATTGTGTTTTGATTGTGCTTTGATTGTGTTCTGATTGTGCTTTGATTGTGTTTTGATTGTGTTTTAGGCTGCTGGTCTTGCAGTGCTGAGTGATTTAGAGATTGAGACAAGGCCATGCCTCAAACGTGACTATCATTATGGTGAGTTGTGATATTTTGAAATCAATATTATTAACATTAAATTATTTAATATCAATATTTAAATTATGTTTTGGTTGGTAGTGAGTCTATGCAATGGCTCGAGTTTGACTAAATTAAGATTCCATGAACAAAATGCCAGATATATTTCTTTAATTCAGCTCCAGAAAATACAAGAACATTATATATAAAATATTAAGATGAATGAAATTAATGTCAAATGAATTTTTGTGAAAGTGATAACTTCTGTATGTACCCTTATCATCCTCCGATCACAGGGCTTCAAATTCCAGAATATATTCTTTCAATTTACCCCCTGCAATAAGCCATTGCCATTTCCCCGATTAAGAACTCGCAATCTGATTGGCACTGCGACAGAAATCATGTATAAGTTATTGTGCATCATTAGATCATATGATTCAGTTAGATCGGGCGCTTCCAAATTGGTTATAGCAGGGGGAAGAAGGAGGTACGGATTCTGGACACCTACTTAGGAGGATGACCCTTATATATTATATATGTTGTATTATTGGCATGGCTGTCAGCTAGTGCTTGATGACATATTTGCGTTGCTTTGATTTGCTTTTCAAAACAGAGCCCATATACAGAGGATTAGGGGGTGCCGGTCCTCGGGGACGTGTAAATGTCCCTGTGTTTGAACAAGAAACTGATGATGCTGCAGTCCCTAAATCAGCGCCATCTAGTGACACCGGGTCAGCTACACTTCGGGCATTTTTCCCAGAAACCTGGCTGTGGCGTCTTGAAACCATTGGGTCAGTATCATATCGCAAAACTCCTTAACATGAACCCCTATATTAAGTTAAACAACCAACAGTGAAACACCTCTGTGATGTAAACACTTTTTACAGCTCTTTTTCAATCTCCTATTGACTCCAATGTATAATAACATCTTTAAGAATAACACCACAGAATTCAGGGCACCAGAAGTGTTTACATTTAGAAGTTTTCACTGTTAAGTAGATATTAAGAATAACTGGGCTTCTACATTCTATTTTAGATGTTGATTGCGTGCCGGCTGCATGTTTATATTTCAGGTTGATGACATATGAGGGACATGTTAACAAATACAGGGTTCGTACACACCTGGAAATGTCAGGGAAATTGATTTATTTTTCCAGGTGCTGGAAATGTCAGGGAATTTCAAAATTGGGTTAAAAAGGGCCAAAAATGTCAGGGAATTTTGAAACAGTAGATGTGTCAGAGAAATGTCAGGGAATTTTGAATCATTGTTGAAAAAATAATGTTCCAGCAAAATACATTTAAGGCTATGATAGGATATCAATGAAATCCAAAGTCGAACATTTAGTTGTTTCCACAAATTGCTTATCTTTTCATTAGGGTTGATTGAATGACATTAAATCTGATTTAGAACAGTGTGAACATTATACTGAAACTGAACAATAAAGAATATGTATAGATGGTTCAATACAATTATGCTTTTCCATATACTGTATGTTAGTCTAAGGCCATTCAAAGTTAATTACTGGTATATGTTTCATGGTTTGTTGAGGGGTTAATCTGAGGAGGGCGGGAGGTGAAAAACTCTTTTCAGTTTAAAATTGTATCATATTAATATTCTGTCATTCTGTCTGTCTGTTCGACAGTCCGGTAGTATTCAGTCTATTTATCTAACTCAAATATCAATTGACAGATTTGGTTAAAGTTTTATATACCAATGCTTTTGTTGCTGTCTCTGCTCAAGAAGATAGTTGCCATTTTTCATATCATGTTCACAATGATAGTATTCGATATATATGTTTCATTAGGTAGGAATTGGCATTCAAGGGAGTTGCTATTTTTCTTTAGATCAACATTTTTAAGTTTCAGTTTTTATTTGGATTCATTACAAAACATCAACAAATTATAGTTTGAAATGCTTAGAATGCACCATATACAATTGTCAATTTTGAAAAATTTCCCGTACCCCCCTTTGGGTTTCCTTCACTCGCAGTGATGCAAACCCCTAAAAATGCACCCCCTTGACACTTGCTGACTATGTCCCTGTACATATATGTTTACCTTCGTAAATATGTAAAATTAAGAACATAATGTATCAGGAATAAATTGGTGAAAAACGGCCTGTAGAAGTAAAGTTGAGTCATGAGAAATGGTACTAAAGGATAAACCCAAAATGTTTCACAATAAGTCTTTAAATAATACAGTTGTTAGAGACTTTTTAGAGGCCGTGCAAGGAAAACTGGATCTGGAAATTTCATTTTATGGCTGGAAATGTCAGGGAAATTCATCTTGAAAAAGGTGTACGAACCCTGAAATATTATGGGATACAGAAATGTGTTCATACGATAGTACATGACATATACATATTACAGTGTATCCGGTGGGATTAAACAGTCCTTACCCACAGGGCCGTGGGCCCAAAACCCCACCCTCACCCAAGGACACCCTTAGGATATTTTTTCCCGAAACTTGGCTCTGGAGAATAGAATCAATAGGGTAATTAGTACAATGTACCTCTAGTAATGCATGGGATTTATGGGTAACAGCCTCTCTTATGGGGTCAGAACTGACCAAAAGTTAAGAATGACCATCCTTGGCTTTGTTTTATACTAATGAGCAGGTCCAACTGTCCCACAATTTGCGTATTTGCAGCCTAGCATTTGCTGAAGAAATTGAAGCCATGCCAGCATTTTTTGTGTGACAGAATATTTCACATTTTACCTGATAATTGTCAAGCAAAATTCTGTAGAACTTCAAAAAATGAAAGCTGAAAAAAAAGTATTTCATCGGAAATTTCACGGGAATCCCGTATATGTCACGTATTTGCTTTGAAATTTCTTGTACATACAGGCCTGTTTATATGCCACATTTCTGGCAAGGGTAAGAGTTCCACAGCAGGATTCATTGCTCTGTTAAAAAGAATTTTGAAAAAAGCTTTAAATGAAGGATTTTGATTTGTTATGCAGGCATAACATTGTATATTAAGAAGTTTTTTGTCAGAATGCTCCGTAACAAAGTAGTTTAACCCTGCTGTGTAACAGGTAAAATGGATTCTTGTTTTTCAGGAATATGGCAATGTAGGCTAATGCACAATATTCATTTATTTAAATTAAAATTGACTGTACAGTGCCACCTATATTGATATTAAATAAACATGGAGAGTTATTTCTACTACAGCTTTTGGTCAATTTTTGTCTCATAGGAGATGTTTGGTACTTGGTATTGGGAGTGCTCGAGGGTGTCACAGAGATTCTTTGATTCTTGAGGCATAGTTATAAGAACTATGGCTGTAATGTCATTTTTTTGAAAGGACTGGTGGTGGCGTTCTTGTGACCTTGGATGAAGGTCATATTGTGATCTTATATGTATAAATTCAGAATGGATATGTGTTAGTTAATTGGGAGCATAGGGGAACCCTTTGAAAGCTTAAATCTACAGAGTAATGTATTGAGGAGGTGTTTTTGCATGGTAATTCTATAGGGCGTCCCATGGCATTGCCAATGCTTAGCAGAAACAGCAATGGATTCGGCCCATCTGTAGCAAATTTGGTTGTTGAGACTGGGCCAGAGATCATCCAGACTGATTCCTCCGAGCCCATCAGGGCATTCTTTCCTGAAACTTGGTTATGGAGGCTAGAAACTATAGGGTAATAAGTACTCATTAGCTCTTTGCAGGCAGAACCATTGAAGTGCCCCCCCCCCCAGCTGAACCATGCCTTTTCACCATTCTAACCACTTTCAAGAGAGATTTTGGTACAAAACTGCATGTGATATTTGAGTTTTTTAAAAACTGAACACACCTTTGCAAAAACTGACTATGGGGCTTGATATCTGTCCAGGGATTCCTGGCAAAGAAATGAATATGCTTAATTTGCCTTATATGTATAATATGTATATATTTGCTTATTGTACTTGCCTATTAACATGTTGTTGCCTGTTATGAATCTTTGCCTCTTATGTGTTTGCCTATTATACGACTATGTATTCACTTTTATATTATAATATTAATTTATTGCATGTGCCAAATAAACGTTTGGCATGAATGTCTAGACTTTTACCAATGTTATTTGATGTGGACTTACAAAAGTGAGGGATAAATCTAGAAAACAAAAAACTCAAACACAGACCGTTCCTTCATTTTATTATTTTGATGTCAATTTTTCTATTTTCAATATTACATGTAAAACTAGATATATTAGATGAATAATGAAAGGAGTGGTATCGATATGGTGAACTTTTTGAAGACATATTTCTCTTAAACTGACTCATCAAAAAATTTTACACATTGTCAATTAAATGGTCATCTTTTGGATGGTAATATTATAATTTGAAATATATACATATACTTTTCTCTATATTGTTTTAGAAAACACATCAGACACTTCTTTTCTTCTTTTGTGCTTGGTGTCATATGTTCAGAATGAAATGAAACATCTTTCCGAATCTCATTGGAACAAAACGGCAAAAACAAAACGTGTTTAGGTCTCTCAATATTGTAGATGTACAAAGGAAATTTTTGTTGATTTTAAAATAGTATCTTGTTAATGAAATAAAAGGTTTATCTTAATTTTTATCTATTTTGGGGGGTTTTGTTTTAATTTTTTGCATACTTTTTGTTAAATCAACCAAAATTTCCTTTGTATAACTATAATATTAAGAGGTCTAAGAAAATGTTGTATATGCTATTTTGTTCCAACAAGGTTCGGAAAGATATTTTATTTCATTCTCAACAATTGGTAAAAAGGAACAAAAAACTATTGCACTAAAAACAAAAAATGTTAACAAAAACAGTTATATAAAATATATATAAATTATTATTTTCGCATTAAATTATTGTCAATTAGTCAACATTACATAAACGACCATGTTTTTTTACAGAATGTTTTCAATAATTTGTTTAAGAGAAAAACATTGTTGACTTCATGCTGATTCTTCAAGGAACATTAAAAGTATTTTAAGAGCATTTGTAATTTGAATTTATTAATAAGCCCTGGTTATTCCATGAGGGATAAATCCTATATCTTCAACCTAATTCATTTTCAGATCAACGGGAGAGGGGAACATCGATGTGACAGTTCCAGACACAATCACTGAATGGGTTGGGAATGCATTTTGTACCAACTCTGAGACTGGCCTCGGAATCTCCCAGCCAATAGCATTGAATGCATTCCAGCCATTCTTCGTGTCGTTCACCCTACCATACGCTGTTGTACGTGGAGAGAAGGTTCCTGTTATTATAACAGTGTTCAACTATTTGAAGGAATGCCTAATGGTAAGAAATTGCTGGAAATATTTTTAGGCACTATTTATCGATCCATATGCATTCTCTTTGATCCATACCTTTGTTTTACCATATTACAATTTTTGACTCACTCTCATCATACCATTAATGGAGTTGATTTTCAATCTTAGTAAAATTAAAACGTTGTATGTTTATTTGTTGCACAAACTAAGATGTGTCTTCTCTAAATGGCTACACTCGCTAGTTTTATAGTCAATTATTAACCATTTTAAGAAATCTATTTAACCTCTTGAATCCCAGACTCTAAAATCTGTTGAAACCAGAGAATTTTTCATTTTTGCCACCTTTTGTCTTTTAACTATATACGTGTACAATTTTAGATGCTAGACTTAGTGAAATTAGTCGGCAGAGATCATTTCTACACATTTTAAAAAAAATTTTGTGTAAATTGGTCGAAAATTGTTCAAAAAAGAGCAATTTTAGTGAAAAAATTGTGACGGATTTTCTCGTCACTCTGGGTTTCAAGGTCATTTCTGAGATGACTCCAGGTAGTCAAGAGGTTAATTGAATTGGCTGTATATATTTTACACACTTCGAGGAACAGTTTGAGAGCTAAGGGTCTGATACGATTTTAATGATTAGCGTTGAAATTTTACTTTTAGTTCTTTGTTTCAGATCAAGTTAAGCCTTGAAGAATCTGAAGCTTTTACTTTAGAGGAAGGAACCAAAGATGTCTTAAAGTGTGTTTGTGGGGGACAGGCAGTCTCTCATTCATATCTCATAGCACCCACAGAACTAGGACAAGTCAATATTACAGTTAAAGTAAGTATGGTTTGACCAGTCAGGGGGAGAGGAGGGGAGAGGGGACTACTTACAGTGTAAGAATGGGATGTAAAGATTTGTTCGGGGCCCCTGGCCAAAATTTCTATCAAAATCATGCAGTTTTTCATCATTGATTTTTGGCCAAATTTGCCAAAGTGAACTCCCCCTAGAATTTTTTGGAAAAGTGAACCCCCCTTGGAAAATTCTGGCCTGAAGTGTCACATACTTACATGTACAATAAATGGAATCCACATTCAACTAGGCCAACACATGGACTTTCTGTCCATGGTCAACATCACAGTTCAAGAAAGTATCAGTATTTCTCACTGTAATCTTTTAAAGTGATCATATGCCAAAACTTATGTTATACCCATATACATGTACCTCCGCCTTTTGGTCTCACTTAAAGGCTGGCATACAAGAACTCCTTCATTAAACAAGCAGCAATGAAACATTCACTGATTTCTTACTGTATACTTTATAGGCTGTATCCACTGATGAACTTGGTCCAAATAACGCCAACAGTGATTGTGATAACAACTTGGCATCCAGGTCGTACTTAGGAGTCCAAGATGCCGCTGTGAGACCTCTCTTAGTTGAGGTATGAATTCAACAATTTTGATTCTACATTACTCCAAACATTGATTCATTTCATTTAAATGTGTTATTTGAGCTCATAGTCTATCATATAACATACAATACAAGATATATAAAATTAAATCAATTGTTTCACAAGTCTTAGAATAGGACTGGCTGTTTTTTTGTAAAATTGTTGACATTTTGACAAAGTTAAATCAATATTTCAGGCTGAGGGTGTTCCGCAGGAGTATACAGAGACATATTTTGTCTGTCCAGATAGCCCTGAACAAGGGAGCAGTGGAACCATCACATTTAAATTACCTGAAAATGCAGTACCCGACTCTGAAAGAGCCTATGTTACTGCTATTGGTGAGTTCTAGAAAAAAGGGATGGAAAATTGTTCTCGTTTGAAGTTGTTCAGAATACGATTTAGGTTACAGTAGATAAATTTGGAGGCAAAAGAAGAAAACATTTTGAAAAAGATCTATATTGGGAGGAAATGTGTAAGGCTTACCAGTGTAGGATAATAGTTGCATTGTATTTGTGCAAAACGCTACGGGGTAGTGACTCATGCTAAAATCTAGATATGGGAACATGAAAAATCTATATTAATTAGCTGTTAAGTGAACATTGAAAAATAAGATGTCAGACTTTGTATAAGTAATCAAGTAAAATCTGATTTATTCTTTTTCCAGGGGACTTGATGGGTCCTACTTTGTCTAACATTGCCAAGTTGATCAGGCTACCAACTGGTTGTGGGGAACAGACCATGCTCAGCTTTGCGCCAAATATCTACATCATGGAATATCTGCAGGCCACCAATCAGCTTACTGATAAACTAAAGGAGACATCTGAGGAGTACATGATCAAAGGTAAAGAAATTAGGCTCATTGTAGACCCTTATTCCACCTATTTATATACAGAAACCATGGATTCAGAACTTCATACACTCTACCTTGTACAAAGTTAATGTTCTGCTTCTTGCAGGCATAACCTGTCTTATTTAAATACAAATGTCACAAGGAGTTTTTTATAATAAGGAATACGTTTTCTTTTATAATAAGGAAATCTATGGCAATTTAAAAAAGTAGAATGGAATATTCCATTCTTTTGACTTCAATTTTTAAAATGTCACAATGATATTTTAATTGCAGGTTACCAACGTGAATTAACTTATCGTCATGACGATGGCACATACAGCGCATTTGGCAAACGTGACGACTCTGGCAGCACATGGCTAACTGCATTTGTCGTAAAATCTTTTGCGAGGGCCCAAAAGTACATCACAGTTGACAAAAAGGATTTGGACAAATCAGTGAAGTGGTTTGTAAGCCAACAGAATCGTGACGGATGTTTCCCAAGTGTTGGTAAAGTTCTACATAAGGACATGAAGGGAGGACTGAGTGATGGAGGTTCTGGATCTACATTGACTGCCTATGTTACTGTTGCGTTACTAGAGGCTGGATTAAACAAGACAGTAAGTATCAGCAGGAGGGATTACCTCAAAATATTAGAGCCATTAGGGATTATCTCAAAATATGAGGGGCATATGGGATTATCTCAAAATATGAGGGGCATTAGGGATTATCTCAAAATATGAAGGGCATAAGGGATTATCTCAAAATATAAGACATATAAGGGATTATCTCAAAATATGAGAGGCATTAGGGATTATCTTCATGTAATCATCTCATATATTTACTTGACCATTCAAACACTTTTCCAATTAATTGCAGCAAAATTTTGAAGTTCATTTAAAAACAACTCGTAAATTAAAATATTTACACATCCAAAAAACTAAAGCTATGATACTTATGATAAACCAAGTGACTAAACTATACAGCTCAAATCAAAGTGGCTATATACTGGATGATTTACTCAAATCTTGCTCAAATGTTTACATGGAAAGCATCATATTTCTAATAATTATTTTTAAAATATGGTTAATGTTAAGTGAAATATGTTTAATTGTACATGTAGAAGTTGTCATAGTAACTGGGATGGTTCTTCCTTTTATGCATGGGATTAATGGACATTATACAATGTTTTAGGATCGCAGTATTCGACGTGCTGTGTCTTGTATGGTCCGACGTCATCCACCCCGGCGAACTGACAAATATGGTGTTGCTATGGTTACATATGCTTTAATGCTTGAAAATCCTAATTCCGTCAATGCTCAGCGTTATCTTCGACTTCTCAATAGTTTAGCTGTTAATAAAGGTAAGTGTCACTTTAAACTCTCATGAAGAGCAATCAACTCTTAGATCAACTCTTAAGAACATCTTAGATGCTTTAACAGTACTGAGTACTAATATGCTTCATCAGCAGTCTCACTCCTCCTTTCTTTTATTAGATGGCATGAAGTACTGGCAGTCTGCCCCTGCCCCACCTTCACAAGATGATGCCCCATTCCATAAAGCAAAATCTGCCGATGTTGAAATCACATCATACGCATTACTCTCCCTTCTCCTAAAAGGAGGAGAGAATATTGAAGCTGAGGTTATGCCCATTGTGCGCTGGATTAGCCGACAACGTAACAGTAGAGGAGGATTCGCTTCTACCCAGGTAAGTGCAGGAAATTTTGGTTTGAACAGATCAATATCTCCAAAAAATGGTCCAAAAGAAATCACATGATACATGTGTAGATTATATCAATACAAGAGTTTCTTTCTTAAACAGCCACGGGTGTTTATTGAAAGATCATAACTTAATGGCATTATTAATGATATATTGAACAAGTTCTAGTATTTTAGCCTTAAAACTGGACTTTAGCACTCATTTTTAACTGCAAACTAGAATCTCATGCATTACATCACCAACAACTTATCAAGTCTTGAGCTCAACTCATTTGTACACGAATACATGTACTGTTACAGGACACAGTTGTTGCTCTCCAAGCCCTGGCCCAGTATGCAGCCCTAGTATATGGTGACCAGGACATCACTGTTGCTCTAAGTGGATCCATTCCCTCGACCAGTTTAGCCATAAATTCTGGCAATAGTCTCCTCCTGCAGAAGGTTGATGTGCCATCTATACCATCCACCATTGAGACTTACACTTCAGGAACAGGATGTGCTCTGCTACAGGTACATGTATTCACTCATTTCAGTAATTTTTGCCTATTTTCATTATTCCCCCATTTGCTAGTTTTTATATTATAAAACCCCTGCTCATATAATTTCCCAAAATGTTCACTTTCTTTATTAACTCTTGTATTTGTATATAGTTTTAAGTTTTTACTACTTTCAGTATTTAGTTTATTCCTGCCAGATCATATTCTTCTAACTTTTCTTTGTATTTAAAAGCATAGGACTCCAAGTCATTTTTCTTCAAAGTTTCACATCCATTATCTTGTTGTATTTTTACCAGGGTACCATGAAATACAACATTTTCCCAGAGGAGGTAGATGTCCCAGCATTCCAACTGAGAGTCAATCCCAGTGGTTTTGCCTGCAAGAAGCAGACCATAAAAGTTTGTACAAGGTAGAGTGTGTGATGTATTACTACATCCCCTTTGTATTGTACCCTATCTATTTGTACATGTATAGCCTGAAGACAAGATATCTCCCCAATTTTGACTTAAAACTGCAAAGAAATCCAGATCACTAAGACTTACCAGAAGTGTTGACTTATTGTTATAGTTTTCCACTTTTTTGTGGATGGTGTTCGGTGATTGGTGTTCAGCATCTGTAACAGTGTTTGGTGTCTGTAGCAGCATTCAGTGGTCAGTGTCTGTAACAAATGGCAGGTGGTGATATTTTGCCTTGTAAATGCCTTGTTGACTTTTTCAGCTACCAAGGGCCAGGGGATGAATCCAATATGGCCGTAATTGAGGTTAAAATGCCATCTGGCTGGTCACCGTTGAAGGAAACCGTAGAGCCATTGTTGAATGACATTTTCCTTGGTCTCAAGCGGTATGAGGTTGATAAGAATTTTGTCAGCTTCTACTTTGACTCTGTAAGTACACAGTGTCCCATAAGTATATTATTTATTATTTATATATATATTTACCTCTAGAATATACCTTTTATTTACCTCTACAATAATCTAGGAAATTATAATTAATATGATGTCAAAGCACTTTCACGTCATGAAATAGCATACAATCGCTAATTATGTCACCACCAAAAGTGGTGACATATTGTTATGGTCTCCGTTTTTTGCGACGGCGTCCGGCGGTTGGAGGTTGGCGTCCGGCGGTTGGCGTCCGGCGGTTGGCGTCCGGCGTCTGTAACAATTTCTTACAACTTCCTATAACTTAACAAATACTGTTTAGACTGACTTCAATTTTTTTCTAAATCATCTACATGTTCTCAGAAGTTCAAATCTGACTTTAGATTTGACATTTGACCTTCAATGACCTTCTCAAGGTCAAAAAGGTCTTTTTTCAACTTGCTTCACATTGACTAATTTTTTTTTCAAAATCATCTACATGTTCTCAGAAATTCAAATCTGACTTTAGATTTGACTTTAGATTTGACATTTGACCTTCAAATCTGACTTTAGATTTGACATTTGACCTTCAATGACCTTCTCAAGGTCAAAAAAGGTCAAAAAGGTCTGTTTTCAACTTGCTTCAAATTGACTAAATTTTTTTTCAAAATCATCTACGTGTTCTCAGAAATTCAAATCTGATTTAAGATTTGACATTTGACCTTCAATGACCTTCTCAAGGTCAAAAAAGGTCAAAAAGGTCTGTTTTCAACTTGCTTCAAATTGACTAAAAAAAATTTTCAAAATCATCTACGTGTTCTCAGAAATTCAAATCTGACTTTAGATTTGACTTAAGATTTGACTTAAGATTTGACATTTGACCTTCAATGACCTTCTCAAAGTCAAAAAAGGTCAAAAAGGTCTTTTTTCAACTTGCTTCAAATTGACTAAATTTTTTTTTCGAAATCATCTACATGTTCTCAGAAATTCAAATCTGACTTTAGATTTGACATTTGACCTTCAATGACCTTCTCAATGTCAAAAAAGGTCAAAAAGGTATTTTTTCATCTTGCTTCAAATTGACTAAATTTTTTTTTCAAAATCATCTACATGTTCTCAGAAATTCAAATATGACTTTAGATTTGACTTGCGATTTGACATTTGACCTTCAATGACCTTCTCAAGGTCAAAAAAGGTCAAAAAGGTCTTTTTTCAACTTGCTTCAAATTGACTAATTTTTTTTTCAAAATCATCTACATGTTCTCAGAAATTCAAATCTGCCTTTTCGATTTGACATTTGACCTTTAATGACCTTCTCAAGGTCAAAAAAGGTCAAAAAGGTCTGTTTTCAACTTGCTTCAAATTGACTAAATTTTTTTTTCAAAATCATCTACATGTTCTCAGAAATTCAAATATGACTTTAGATTTGACTTTAGATTTGACATTTGACCTTCAATGACCTTCTGAAGGTCAAAAAAGGTCAAAAAGGTCTTTTTTCAACTTGCTTCAAATTGACTAATTTTTTTTTTCAAAATCATCTACATTTTCTCAGAAATTCAAATCTGACTTTAGATTTGACCTTCAATGACCTTCTCAAGGTCAAAAAGGTCTTTTTTCAACTTGCTTCAAATTGACTAATTTTTTTTCAAAATCATCTACATGTTCTCAGAAGTTCAAATCTGACTTTAGATTTGACATTTGACCTTCAATGACCTTTTCAAGGTCAAAAAGGTCTTTTTTCAACTTGCTTCAAATTTACTTAATTTTTTTTCAAAATCATCTACATGTTCTCAGAAGTTCAAATCTGACTTTACATTTGACATTTGACCTTCAATGACCTTCTCAATGTCAAAAAAAGTCAAAGAGGTATTTTTTCAACTTGCTTCAAATTGACGAATTTTTTTTTCAAAATCATCTACATGTTCTAAGAAGTTCAAATCTGACTTAAGATTTGTGTGCAACTAGTTTTAACTTGCTTCAGATTGAACAATTTCTTTTTTCAAAATCATCTACAAGATCCCAGAAGCTCAAATCTTCAAAAACATTCTTAAGGTCAAAAGGTATTTTCCAACTTGCTTTAAATTGACCAAATTGTTTTAGGTGGTGACATTTTGTCATGTTAATGCCTTGTTATTGAAAGCTACAAAACATACCTGAATAGCTACACATAGCAAAACATATTTGAGCCTGGCCATAGGAAAACTGGTCTTATCACAAAAATTAGAATTGTGCTACAGAGTCAAAAATGTGCAGAAGATTAAGAGGAAAATGTGCTAAATTCAAATCCGACTTTTTGGTCTATCTATGCAAGGAAAAGTTGTTAAGGCATAAGCCATGGCTCATTTGAAAGGTCTCTTTGTGCTTTCTAAGATCAGAATATTGAAAAAATCTGTCATAAGACCCCTTTTCCTGTGGCCTGGCTCATTTACTATTTATTGTATATTCAAACAGCTACATGCATAAGGTATTCACACAAGTGATTTTAACCTTGCAGATTAGCTCAGAGGAGAAGTGTCTGTCATTTGTGGTGGAACAGTCAACACCTGTGAAGGATTTGAAACCTGCATCAGTTATGGTCTATGATTACTATGATACAGGTATGTACATGTTTGTAAGCTAAATGTGGAATATTTAATTTTTACCTTTTTGCCATTTATTTTGTTTACTTACTTTACTTTTGATAGATCACCAATCCCATAAATTGCACCACCTCTTTGTTTTTCATTTTCAGGGCAGATATTAAATTAATTATCGCCATTTGTTTCTGGTTTAGCTACTTTTCAAAAACTTCTTAACATTTTTTGATGCAAGTTTGTCCACAAAAACAGGCCAGGTTTTATTGGAAAGTCATTCTCTCAGATTCATTTAAAAATAGCAAGGTGCATGCTAAGCTTTTAGACTGCATGAGGCACTACCTTTTAAACTGAAGTACAACTCATTTTATTTTCCTCATTCTCTATTTTGGCCCATTTAGATCAATAAATTAAACATTATCTTATTCTAAAACCAAAAATTAACTTTTTTTGAAATGTTTGTACTCCAGATTTATTTTTGATTGCTAATTTTACACTTCTTTTACATTTCAGATTTATCATTGACCAAACTCTATTCTCTGAATCTGTGCCAGTCGGAAGAGCAACCAGGCAGACCAAGTAAGTCTCCCCACTCTTAAACTTTCTCTTGCTATGTATATTCTACGCTTCCTCAATTTCAAGAATGAACTGCCTGGTATTCTTGCATTTATATACCATTTGGGGTCTTGGTTACATGCCTGTTTACTTTATTCCTTGCTGATTTCACTCTTTTCCTCATTTTCAACTATTGGCAGGTCGGGGTCATACTGTGGATTTGTTCAAGCGTTAAGCATGTTTTCTTTTTGCAGTACATTTGTTAATATAGCAGTATGGATATTATAGTTTAACTTGTAAGCATGTTTTCTCACAGTTGTATTAGCATGTTTTAGCAAATAACCATAATTGAGCATTATTATCATGGTTTAGCAGTACTCATATTTAGTACTTTTAGCATGGATTGGCAGTTGGTCATTATTTAGCAGTATTAGCATGTTTAGAAGTTTTAGCATGTTAAAAGCAGTATTTGTATCATTTAGCAAGTATTAGCAGGTAACCATGTTTTATCAGTATTTATATGGTTTAGCAATTGTAGCATGTATTTAGCAGTTAATCATGTTTTTGCAATAGTAGCATGGATTGCCAGCCTAACCATGTTTAGCAGTATTTATATGGTTTAGCAGTTTTGGAATGTTTGGCTGTATATATAAATGGTTTAGCAGTATTTGTATGAATTAGCAATTTTAGCATATATTAGCATGTTAACCATGTTTTAGCAGTTCTAGCATGGATTGGATATCATTTTGTTCTCTATATTAGAGTTGCAGCAATATTTAAATATTTAAAAGCCATTAGTCTTAAATAGTTTAGCATTTAGTTGTTTAACATAGATTCAATCGCAGTTTGAAGAAAAGTTTAAAAGCAAAGGTTAATTAGCATGCAAAGTAGAAATCAGTGTTATGCAAACAATGTATTAATATACTAAACATCTTATGTGCCCATATTTGGAATTAGAGATAAAAAGAGTGGAATCAGCAAGGGATAAAGCAAACATTTAAAAAAGTCAGGCAATTCATTCAAATTATTGAGGATAATTTGTAGAACAGACATGGCTTGAGAAATATATTGTGATTGTATGTATTTGATTGTAAACGTTTGAATTCCAGGAACGTAGTTTATGCTTCATGACCTACATCCACCTGCACCTACAACTTGCACCTACAATTTGCAAATACAATCTGCACCTATGACTTGCACCAAATCAGTATGAAATTCATATAACCTGCAGCTATTTTACTCTCGGAAAAACTAAAATGGAAAAAATATTGTTTAGTTTTCAAAATACTTTCTAATTTAATCTGAATGATACATTGCTATTAATAATAGCAATGTAACTTAATCAATGGCTTTTGGACCAGACACAAAAACAGCCTTATTGGAACTATCTGAGCTCATAGACATTTTAAGCTCATACCCTTTATCTTTTTTGGATTAAACCATTTCTTGTATTATATTAGTTAAGTAAGAAATAAAATATTATTTATAGGGATCATATTGCATCTTTCTTGGGTGATATGATAAAACATATTTAACAAATCACATTAGATGAGTCAAAATGGTAATCAAAATGTGTCAAAATGGATCAGAGTGGCCTAATATGGAAATGTGTCAACCAGGGATCAGAATAGCCTTATATGAATATGTGTCAATCAGGGATCAGAATTGCCTTAAGCCCAGTATACACCAATGAGGCAAAATCCCACTTGCCCCATCGAGTCCCATCTTGCTCCTTCGAATCCCAACTCGCCCAATCGAATCCCATAGAGTCACATGGGAACTTGATGACTTTGCCCCATCGGGGAGTCTCATTGAGCCCCATGGAGTCCCATCAAATCACATCGTGCCCCATTCGTGTGTGTTGGGCTTTACACAACACATCATATGATCGAAAATCCCATGATTGATGACCCATGGAAAGAATGGACATGTTCATTCTCGATGGGGCAAGATAGGACTCAGTGGGATCTTGCCCCAACTTGCCCCATCGAATCCCACAGAGTCCCACGTAGGACTTCATGGGACTCAATGGGGCAGGATGGGGCAAAATCCGACAGAGTCCCATGAAGTTCCACGGACTCCATGGGGCAAAATCCCAAGAAGTCCCACGAGGTCCCTCACAAAGTTAAGTCTATGGAGGTCCCAACTTGCTCCATTGGTGTATACTAGGGTTTACGGAAATTTATCGACCAGGAATCAGAGTAGCCTTATATGGAAATGTGTTACTAGGATCAAAGTAGCCTAATATGGAAATGTATCAAGCAGGGATCAGAGTACCCTAATATGGAAATGTGTCCACCAGGGATCAGAGTAGGCTAATATGGAAATGTGTCAAGCAGGGATCAGAGTAGCCTAATATGAAAATGTGTCAACTGGGGATCAGAGTAGCCTAATATGGAAATGTGTCAAGCAGGGATCAGAGTAGCCTTAAACGAATGTCAACCATATGTCATCTCTGATGTTTTTGTGTTGCCCTTTTTGCTCTCATCAAACTCTTGTAAAAAATTAAAAATAGTAAATATATTCTATTTTGTATACTGTATGTTATATGTAAGTAATGGACAAAATAGTAATAATTGCAAGATCTACAACTCAGTAAATACACAATTAACAATTTTGAATTACATCTTACTTAGATACTTTTTACAATTTCAAACTCCATACAAAGGGACCCATGATCATTAAAGGGAATGCAAAGTTTCATGTTTTAATTTACACGCTGGCTACAACTCATCCCTAAGACAACTCATCCCAAGACAAGTCATCCCTAAGACATCTCATCCCAAGACAACTCATCCCAAGACATCTCATCCCAAGACAACTCATCCCAAGACATCTCATCCCAAGACATCTCATCCCAAGACAACTCATCCCCAAGACAACTCTTCCCAACTTGAAATAAAACATAATTTTATACAATTAATTTTCATTTTGAAAGAATGAAAAATATTTAGAGATTTTAGCAGTTAGCACACTGGTCATGGAATATCTTTGTTTTTTATTAATACATTTTCATGCTGTATTTTAAACTGACACATTTCATATTTTGTCATGCTGTATTTACTTAATATTTTTGTATTTTGTAGTTAGTTAGCCTAGTTTTAGTTAATTTTTGTTGACTGATTGGGATAAAGATAAACATGTTCAAATTTAATATATACTTTGATATTAAATCAAAGATAATCAAAGGTGTAGGATTAACTCAGTTAGAATGTATTATCCAAGGTGCTATCAGAATAATTCTCTCAGATTAATTCAGTCTTTGTTTTAAAATATTTTGGCTTAATCCTAAATAAGATTGCCAATTTCAAACTTTCAGATTTATGATGATTAAATTTGGAAATAATGTCTATGACTTTTATGTTCAATCCTATATTCTCAAATATATTTAGAATAACCCAGAATTCATCAAAATAGCGGCAGTACTTACAAGTAAAACATAACTTTCAAGTGCCATTTCAAAATGCTAAAAATCAGTATTAAAAATTGAATGTGTAATCAAAATTCACTTTGTAATCATAAAAATGAAAAAGGGATATATATAATATAGAGGACAAAATAGTTTATCAATTATACAAGTGGGATGAGTTGTCTTGGGATGAGATGTCTTGGGATGAGTTGTCTTGGGGATGACTTGTCTTGGGATGAGTTGTCTTAGGGATGAGTTGTCTTGGGATGACTTGTCTTGGGATGAGTTGTCTAGAAACCCTTATAACCATCATCTATCACTTCAGCTCACTCATGGGACATATCGTGTTTGAACTAACATATAATTCAAGTTCAAAGTACCCATATCTGGATCGCTGCGGATGCCGCCATTGTTATGTATCAATGACGTCATTGATGCCTTAAAATTGATGCCTCGGAAATGTCGCTATATAATCACGTCATACTCGGATCGCAGAAATAGAACACATTTCACTGATATTTTATAACTATTTCTGTCCGCTTAACATTGTTGCCGCATGTTCATGTCCATATCATATCATATATTTGGAAAAGTTGTTTCAATATATTCTTCATAGAAATTGAATTGTTGCAATGTCTTTTTTCAAATGTTTGTATTTATTTTCTCCAATGTGATATAGTAAGTTTATAGGCTAGGTAGAAAAATCACTAAACTTATGAGATATCGGCTGCGCGATTCGGAAGTCATCGCATTATATTTCACTTGAAAAATATCCACTAGAATTATTTTATATAATGATAACACTGGGTCAAAAAGGATAAATCTGTTCAAATCCTGTAAATGCTTTCTTGTATATTTAACCGATAAATGAGGTAAATGCATTAAAATATACAAAATGGCATTTACACATGGGGATTTATTTAACTAAGATTAATGTGGCTAATGTGTTGGCGTATTTGTTGTGAAAATAAGTAAGTTATATCATCGGCTGAACGCATCCAACAAATAGTTGCATTTACCATATTTATGTAAATACAAGACATACCATTTAAAAATTTCAAAATCTATGCTAATGTTCATTAATGCGCTGATGAGCATTTACGGCACATCATTATTAACCTTGAGGTTTACGTCGGCAAATAGGCATACTGCCGCAATTGCTTTCTTACCTAATCATAAATGGTAGATTTCTTCAATCTGTAGTATTTTATTCAAATATGAATAGGTGCATATTGGAGAATGAAAGAAATAAAACAAAAAGTAGTTATCCAATGAAACAGTAACTTCCTAAAGTGTTTAGCCATTTAAATGCTGATGAAAAACGCAAACAAAAAAAACAAAAAATCGATGTCGTCTAAATGATACGTATGTAAATGTCAATCTCCTAAATATTAAGATTGGCAATAGCTTTACAAGGACATGCCATTGTCATATTTTCAAGGAATAATACGTAATGTTTAATTTTTCTCAGTTGTTAAAAGAACAATTTCAATCATCATATCACCGTAGCGACATTCAATATGACAAAATAGCTTTTCAAAATTCAATGGTATTTCACCTTGGATATCACCTTTGACGATAAGGCAATTGCCGTATTGATATTACGCCAAAAGTTTAATATTTATTTTATTATATATTTATTTTTAAAAACAATTCCTGATTTCGAGCTCGAATTTAATTATATAACATCCGTGGTAAGTACAGTTCTACAGTATTTTCGGAATAATGATTTTCAATTTACATTTTGTTTTTCTATATCGGAAAATAAGTGGAACTTTAAAAGCTTCAGTCACATTTGTTCAATGCGACCACACGTCGATCGTATTTCCCTGAAATCAGTAAAGGAAGAGGTGCGTTTATTGGCAAATACCCCTATGGTCAAAATGAAGTCAAGTTTGCAATCGATTCAGGTCATACTTAAAATTAAAAGATTGTACATTTTTTCATCATTTTTTCCCTACAAAATGGCTATAGAAAAATGCTCCAAAAACAACTTTTACACAAAAATCATACAACTTTGTAAAACCAAAGAATATACTATTTTATTTCATTATGTAGTAACATTTTTGGATAAGATGTACATGTACGCAGGGATGCGTAGGATGCAAATGGATTTTGACAGACACAAAAATACTTCCTGGTTTGGAATCATATGCCTCTACACTTCATGATTGAATTATGACCTTAATTAGTGGCCTATAGCCTACATCAATACAGTGCTGAATATAGGTCAACAAGATACTAGTGTGCATATAAATGTTATTATTAAAGCAGAATACTCATTTTGAAAAATCAGATGAATTATTTTTTTCTCATGGGGAGATCCCAATGGAGGGTGTATAAGGTCCTTTCTACGGCAAATATAGGAAAACTACAGTCGACTTAAGGTCACCTTGCTGTCTACGTACACGACATATCTTTACAAGGCGTAGAGTCTGAGTTATAACTTTTTCTTTCCTTTGGTCACCATAGATATCAACAAGCAGTAGCCAAACCGTAGGTCTCACGACGACCGTACTTCGGGTTCACGGTGGACTTGCGGCTGCGCTTGGATTTCATAGGTTACAATTGACCTTTCCGAACCATAGAACCCCTTGTGGATGCCTTCAAGAAAAACTACGCACGTCGTAGGGCCGCCCTACGCTGATCGTGCGTCATCATTTATCAGCCGTACGGGAATCGTAGTTTTTCCTCATAATCAAGATACCGCGCCGTACGGCTATCTTAGCAAATGTGACTGCTAAATTATCTGACTGCAGAAATACTTAGGCAACCATAGAAATGATAGACAGTACGGTCCCCGTAAAATGTGACGTGAGGCTAAGAATCCATGATAGTAATTGAATATGGTTTTTTTAATTTCTTTGAATACCTGTGTTAAAGATAAACATAAATGCAATGAATATTAAAGTACGAACACGTATTTTTCTAATGAGACTAGCAAATTAAACCATTACATTCTTGGAAATTCAAGATGGGTTGGTTGAATTAATTTTATTATGTTTTATTCAAATAGTTTGCATTCGCCTGATAGAATTAGCATTCTCTGTTCGCATTTAGCGCTAGACCTTATAAAAGTTAAAAAG